TTTAGGGGCGTCAGATAAGACGGAATGTCGGATAAGCGAAGGTCGGTTAAACGAGACTCTACTGTATTATGATAATCATCACATGAATAGTGAGAGGGCTTTATAAGAAATTGAGGCCAACTCCACGGCATTTGGTGGGAATTGGAACTTCCCAAAACACATGAGGCAAGTTTAAAATGTAGTTTCAGATCAGGAACATCTGCAATTTAGGCTATTAATGTTTAAAATGTCCTGTTTGGGTATGATACTTTATTTCCCTAAGATCTTTGCATTTGGGATTCAATTACACTGACTAGGTGGATACACTTAGCACTTGCTGATTTTTCTGTAGCACGTGGCAGCTGTCATGCTGGAATTCCTTGAAGTTAACCAGTTCCTCTGACACTGGGTCTCACTGGGTCTCCCAGCAAATGTACCATTTGTGGTTTTCTTTAACTTGTGTTTTGAGGCTAGTGTTCTTGTCTCTCTGGGTCCAGTAATTCATCTGATTGAATGACCTAATTTAACACATCAGGCAAAACAGCCTTTGTAATAATAGACAGGGGGCTTTTATCATTTTGATTTATCCTATAGCAGTTATATCCAGATAGAAAGAAGTAAATGTTGATTTCTGTATTTCAGCTGTTGCTGGAATGTTCTCTTCACTGTACAGTATTTCTCGAAGCTTTATAGCTGTAATTGTCCTGTACACATTCTGCTTCAATGCAGTTAAGGTAAGGAGGAGTGATGCTGATAGCAAAATAGGTTAGGATTGCTAGTGGCTATGGCATTGTTTTCTCTATTTTTCTATGTCTAGACACCTGTATGAATGTAATCCTGATTTGCATGATTTTTCCATCCTTATAAGGGAGGGTCTGCACTGGAGGATGGGGAGGAAGTGGGTAGCAGAGTTTGTCATGAACATCATGTCTTACACACAACTTTAGCTGTGAGGGAGAAATATATTCTTGTAGTCCACCATACAAAGATAGATAGATTGATAGTTCGATAGATTGATGGTCACCCAGCTCCATAAGACTCTAGGTGGGGTACATATTAAAAGATGGAAAAACAAAACCAAAAAAAAGAACTATGTAAATCCAGATAAAGCAATTCTTCAAACTGACAAAATCTTATAAGAGGCTCGACACCTACCGTACCCCAAGGCCTGGGGGAAAAGTCAAGTTTTCAAAGACTCTTAAACATCATCAAGGTGGAAGCCATACAGCTTGCCCCCTCTGCTGTGTACAAGCTAGGCCTTGGTCTCTTGTTAAGATAGAGAAAAGGAAAATGAAAAAAAAAAACAAAAAAGGAGGAGCTGGGAAATTTTTTAATGAGATTATGGATGGGGAAATACGAATTTAATGGAAACCCATTTATATAGTTTGTGTTCTCTGTGAGTTAACTGAACTTTCAAGGTCTCTTTGATAAATAGTGTTAAGGATAATCCTTTTAAACATGTCCTGTCATTTGCACATCTTTCCGCAGGCTAATAAGCTAAATTACAGCAGGCAGGTGGTTTTGTAGATAAGCAATCTTGTCCACAGGCTGGCCTTCCTAGAGCTTTGAAATGTGCTTATAATGCTGCTACCCTGAAGTTAGAGAATGCTGTAAATGATTTACAAGATATTTGCTGCAAATTACATACATTAACTGTAGACCTTCCACTTACACAGGAAAATTACATATAATTTGAATTTTTATTGCCTTTTCATTTTTGAAGATATTTGTAAGCAGAATAATTATTTGTTCTAAAATGATACTATGTATTTCATGTCCTGACCCCAGTGTACTCTAGTATTGGCCTTTATATACCTCTTTATAAAAGACTTCTACCTGTTTTTTTTTTTAAGCATGACATTACATGTTGAATGGGTAGGTAAATTGCAATTCAGGACTTACTTGCCATAAACTGATGTCTGCTACCAGTTCAGCCAATTATGAATACATTCATAATGCATATGCTAAGCTGCCTGTACTCCTTCCAGATGCAAGAAAGAACACAAGTGTGTTTTCTTTCCAGAGACATATTTACAGTCTAGACCAACATATTGGGTTAGTATGATGTGTGAACTCAACCCTTGTGGTTTATAAACCATGGTTTATAAATTAATGTGATGAGTAAACTCGGCTACTGTGGGTTCTTCAATAAATGAAGGTAAAGGAAATAATGGCTTTGAGCAATGGATGAACCCAGTGGGCTGTTAACATTGTGATATGGATGTATGACCCATACTCTTCAAACTAGCAGTTTAGTCAGTATGATCCGATGCCTTCACTGGCTGGGAATTCCAATCCAATAACATGGAGTCTAATGCATATGGAGGGTACCAGGTTGGAAAAAGCAAGAACTGGTGGCAATGATTTGGTATTCTTTATAAAGGGCAGGGAGAGGAATGCCTGAGAGGCATGGTCACCTCCTACAAAATAGGAAAGCTAACATTTTCCAGGTTTTTCTTGTTTTTGGGGAGAGGGCTGTGGAACTTTCCTTTTTCTTCAATAATCCTACTTTTAGCACTTATACCACAGTTCTGTGTATTTTCTCCTTTGGAATGGCATGAAATTATTCTGCTAGATTTTAACAATCAGACTATTGAATTTTGTTGTATAGTCATAATGTTTCAAAATAAAAATGGTTTTTGGAAGATGAAGACATCTTGGGGCAGTACATTGTCTGTTCTTGCTATAAACTAATACAGGTGTCACAGAAAAATGAAAATGTCAAAAAATGTAAGATAAGTTTAGAAGACAGAATGAGAACATTTTCCATTCAAAATAGCATTCAGCTCCCTGTGAAATGTAAAATCCAATGGTTTTAAAGCTGCCCAAACAGTACTCTGTGCCTATGTTCATGGATTATTGATTCATAGTACTCTCTGCTAAAGGGTCTTTTCCACTTGGACATTATTCAGTAATGTATCCAGATTCTGATATGTTACTACAGATCGTTCTCATGCTCCAAATATAACTTGGCCAGCCATTAGGGTGATTTTTTTTTCCTTTTCCAAAAATGAAAGTGGATTCTTAGTTCTGTGATGGCTACGGCATTATTCAAACTCTGTGCAATCCTGCAGTGTCACAGCATATGCAGAGTCATGTGAATCCAACAAAAAAAGACCAGTGGGCTTATGTAGCGCTTCTCTTTCTCCTTAGGAGTAATTTTTCTAGCACAAATGGAAATCCCAGATAGAGATATAGATGGAAAGTTCACAAAGTAGAATCTATTGATGCAGAGATGCTTTTCAAGCATCAGGTATTCAAGTTGTCATTCTTAGTTTTAATGATAGCCTTCTTGACTGTTGTGTCTCAAGCCACCATAGTAAAACCATCATACAGGTGAATTTCCCATTTCTGTAGTGGGCATCTTGCCATCCAGACTTGGTCACAATTAGGATAATAAATAGATAGTTCAGATAAAAGAGCTAGAAAAGCATGTCTGACAATTTATGACTACTTTATTATTGTCTTGGGCTTTTGAATAATCCTCTTGTAATAATGTATGTTTTACTAGTTAGTTAAGTCAGTAACATGGGTCAGGCAATTTGGTGCTCTAGATTTTATGGACTGCAATTTCCACAATTCTTTGCCATTGGTCATGGTAGCTAAGATTGATGGGAGATAGTCAAAACATCAGGAGCATACCATAGAGCATTTTCTGCACTCCCATTAAGAATCGCAGTTGGGGTTTTCTTCTTTTCCTTTCCCATTCAGGTTTCATTTTGTATCATTTTCATATTGTAAGCCCGAGACAGGGACCTTATTGATTTCTAAATAATTCTGAGATCAGGACACTTTCTGAGTAAAGAGTGGGATATAATGCTTCATTAAATTAATCAACTCCAGTACTTCTTTCCTCATTTGTTGTTGATTTTTATTCTGCCTCCTTAAAAATAAATGGTAATCTTTTCTGATCCATGCTTCGCAATGTTTGGTTCTTCAGCATGCACTGAGCTGTGGCCCTTTCTCTGAGTTTAATTTTCTTGGAAGCTTACCAGCTACCTAATATGGTTATTTATAACATGACTGTGACATTAATTCTACTAAGAAATAGTGGTGATATGGGGGTTCAAAATTGCCTTTCCTCTGAATCCTGGGACAGATCAGGATTTGTCAGGAAGTATGAGGACTTCCTGTCCAATGGATTTCTCGATAAGCTGTCTCAGATTTCATCACTCTCACAATTAGCTCTAGAAGTGGCAGGGACAATTTCCACATATTCTTCTAGTATGGAAGCTAGTAGTCTTTGACTACTATTACTCAGTCGTATCAAATCACTTATTCTTGAAGGTTTTTTAACACAAGAACTGAGATTGTTATTTTCAGGTATATCTTTCAAATAATATCATAATTCATTAAGTAACTTTCATAGATAAACACAACAAATTACTATCAACATATAAAAATAATTCAAAATATATGAAAGTGCTTTAAAACCAAGCTGTAAACTGATAAAACTTTTCAATAGGTAATGCTGCCTGGGAACATGCTGGGTGGTTTTAATCAGAGATAGGAAGTTTGGAGAGAGCTTACTTTTATATTGCTCATTAGTTAATGAGTAATGAGATATTCACTGATGCTCAACTTTCTTTGATAATGGGTGATAAATTACTGAAAGAAGAAAGGAGAGGGTTTTTTTGCTATTTTTCCCACCACTTTTCATACAGCAACACTATCATTCTGTTCTAGAAGATCTTCCGAGCAAGTTCTGTTCTAGATTCAACCCAGCTGACTTTTATTTTGCACTTCCAAATGCATTCAGAATAGCTAGTGGTGATATGACGGTTTTTTGCAGAACAAGGATTTTTTTTTCATTTTAAATTAAATTTATGTAATTTAAAAATGTACGCAATTTATTTAAATGTAATTTAAATCTGTGTAATTTAAAATTTTATGTGAGGGGGAAAAAAGTAGCCTTTTATGATTTTCCTTGTTTCTTTTACTTAATTGCCAATTTTAAAGGTATTGTGGTTTGCATAATTAGATACCATGTCTGAAATATCACAACTTCATTAGCTTGATGAAATGCAATATAGTTTATTTAATATGTGAAGTAACAGTTTAACTATTGTAAATTCCAGCATGTTAACAATATTTAGCTTATTTCTGTAGTGACTTTAAATAGACAACATAAAGACTTCCATATTCCTTCCATCTCTGTCTCCTCTTTATCTGTAGGAACCGTGGGATGCTCAACATATTCCAGCGCTGTTCTCTGCCTTTTGTGGGCTTTTAGTTGCACTTTCTTATCATCTGAGCAGGCAGAGCAGCGATCCATCTGTTCTAGTGTAAGTCATCGCCAGTGTTTTTTCCGTCTCTGTTACTATGGCTTAGGCTATAGAACTATGTAGTAAAGTAGTTTTATTTATTGTACAAATTTATATGGCCACCCATCTTAATCAAATAACTTGGGGCAGCCAACAAGCATAAAAAGAGAACATACATATAAAAAGAACAGAAAACAAAATAGCAGACACCAGGTAAAAAAATAATTCTTCATTTAGCACAAAAAGGCAAAATGGTCTCCTTTAACATGCAGTCAGCTTCCAAAAGGACAGGGCCACCTTGAACTCCAGGGGGAAAGCTGTTCCATAGGGCAAAAGCGTGACAGAAAAAGCATGCCTTCTAGGTCTCATAAGATGACACTGTTTCGCAGGAGGGACCTGGAGCACGCCCACCCTGCTAGATCCAATGGAATGGGCAGAAACTACCCGAGACAGGTGGTCTCTCAAGTATCTTGGCTCCATGCCATGTAGGGCTTTATTGGTGATAACCAGCACCTTGAATTGCAGCCGGAAACCTACTGGAAGCCATTGCAACTTACATAACAGTGGTGTTATATGAGTGTGCCATTGTGCACCCAAAACTGCTCATGCCGCCACATTCTGGATCAGCTGCAGTTTCCAAATGTTCTTCATGGGCAGCCCCATATAGAGTGCACTGCAACCAGGAAATGTCTTAGGTATGAGTGGTCATGAACAGAGCCTCCCAATTCAGGAACAGGTACAAGAGGTGCACAAGATGGATTTCTTCAAAGGCCCTCCTGGCTATAGCAACCACCTGCTCCCTCAGCTGGAGCCATGAACCCAGGAAGATCCCCATATTGTGTGCCAAGTAGGTCGGAAGAGCAGTACCCCTTCCAGAGTTAATTATGGAAGCTTTCCAGATATTGGAGTGGGGACCCTTGAACCCACAGCCACTTGGTCTTACTAGGGTTGAATCAGAGCCTGTTCCTCCTCTTCCAGACCCTCATAGCCTCCAGCCACTGGAAAAAAAAATCTCAAAAGCAGCCAGAGGCAGAAATGTATAATTAAGCATTGTTGACATACTGATGATACTGAGCCCTGTGCCAATGGATGACCTCATCCAGTGGCTCATGTAAATATTAAATAGGTGTGGGGAGAAACAGCCCTGAGACACTCCAGAAATCAGGAGCCTAAGGCTAGTCCTCTGCCACCTCCAACACCAACTGGAACTGATTCTGGAGGAATGAGAACCACTTAAGAACAGTGCCCCCCAGTCCTGAATCCCTAAGCCAATCCAGAAGGATACTATGGTCAATTGTATTAAAAGCCACCAAGAGATCAAAGAGGGACAGGGCAGAGCCACAACCCCATCCCTGGCCCACCACCTGGCTGTTTTTAGCTTTTAAAGTAAAACTACTTGAAAGAAGAGATGTACAAGTAATCCTCATTTAGTAATTGTCTCATTTAGCAGCATTCACAATTAGAATGATGATGAAGTAACTGTACGACCAGTCCTCACAATTATGACCTTTGCAGGTCTCTAAAACAAAGCTGAAGATCATAAGCATGGTTGTGGGTTCATTTAGCAATTGCTTCGTTTAACGACTGAGTTGCCGATCCCAATTGTGCTAGCTAAACGAGGACTACCTGCACTACAGTTAAGTGCAATATCATGAGGTCCCTAAATCAAGACTGTTCAAGTCATTTTCTCTACTATGTACACCACATATAGAAACAGAATAGATATTTTAGAAGGCAGAGAGCTTGGGAGGGATGATGAACTCACTCCATGAAAGCAGTATAGTTTGCCTTAGTATTTTGGTGTATGCATAGTTCAAGTTAGCCTTTAGTGTCCTCTGTGACTTTTGAAGTTGCTCCACCTTCCCTATTTGAATGTCCATTGCAATCAGCATGTGGCACTCATACTTTCTGCACTACTCAGTAGTGCCCTCTGGTAAAGGTGTAGATATCTGCCTCTCACCAAAAAAAACAGAACAAAAAAAACCACTATCACATATATATATATATATATA